GGGACTGGATTCCACCAAAAGGTTCTTTCTCTCACGTAATTTAGCCCGCCCTTTTCATTTCCATACAGGAGGAAATGGGATTCGAACCCATGATACAATCTTCTTGTATTTCGATTTAGCAAACAATTGCCTTAAGCCACTCAGCCATACCTCCAAATTTTTTATCATAATAGAATTGGATGTGCCGGATTTGGTTGCTTGCCCGAAGAAAGGGCTATCTGATCCGATCAACTACATAAGCCATAATGTGCTAGCGCGCGTACTCTTCCTCTATGAGCGAGACTCTATCCAAATCTCCCCAGCATCAAAGCGAGACTCCATCCAAATTTGGCACTCCTTGGGAGAGGCATTATGTTCTATGAACACCCCACCAGTGAATGATTCACTTTCAAGTTCTTGCCTCCGACCGGGGAGAACACAGGGTCAAGCCAAGCCCTAACCCGCCTAAATGGAATTCATATCTCCTTCGTCTGGTCGAGAAGGGAGGAGAACTGGACTCTTCCTCTTATATTACATTTATATGAATGTTATATATTTCAGGAGCTAGATTAGTTGGCAATGAACAAGTAAGAATTGCCTCAACCAAAATTGATGGAATTGGACCTAAGCCAGTGTAATAACTTCAATGGATAGAAAAATCTACCAAGACCTACTAAGAATACCATCTCCCAAGTAGTCTTTTTATTTTGCATATCTCGAGTTTAGAATTATCCTCACGATTTTCTCTTCGAGAATACTCGCCTCGTCGATATTTCCCCTCTTTCCTTTTATCTTGTACATTGAGATGTTTATACAAAGCATTCTTTTCTACTTATGTAGGCGACACAAGCTACGATAGGAAGTTGAGTCTTAGCGCATCCGGGAGGCTAATAAATAGGAATGGACTCGGGGAATTCTAACTCTTAACTTGCTCCTGCGACTACCTTTTCATTTGGTAGGGCATGCTAATGAGATCTCATGAGAGTTTTGGATCAGTAAGCTCATAATCTAGAGTTCAATTAGCACCAACTTCAGGGGAGGGAATTCACCCCAAAACGGATTTTGTTCGCTCTGCTCCTCAGAATTCTCACCATTTTTTAGATTTATAGACCCAATTCAATTCAGTGGGATCCTTCATTCCTATTTTTTTCCACCAAGAACCTTTTATAAAACTCTTTGACCCTTGAATTTGGAGTATCCTACTTTCATGCAATTCACAGGATTTAACAAGTAATCGATATTTCACGATCAAAGGTGTAATACTCTTTGTAGTAGCGATCCTTATATGGTATTAACAATCGAAATATGGTCAAAAGAAAAAATCACTACTCCCTTTGTTTCAATTTAGATGAGGTAGTTTGACTCGGTACGGAGTTTAAGAAAAAAAAAAGACTTTTGAAACTTGTGATCTTAAAAGCTTAAGGGGTAAAAGCTTTGTGAGGCCATGACATTTGTGTGGCTGTAAAAATTTCTCATTAAAGGTAAAAAAAATAAAATGAAGAGTTTAAAGTTGAATTATTTCCAAATTTTGAAATATGTCATTTATTTGGAACAGACTAAAATAGAAAGTACCTCTTCTAATTTGAAACAGAGGGAGTATTTGATAGGGCTTCTTCCTATACCTATGAATTCCATTGGACGCAGAAATGATACATTGGAAGAATCCATTGGATATTCCAATATCAATAGGTTGATTGTTTCGCTCTTGTATCTTCTAAAAGAAAAAAGATGTATTCCCAAGTTGCCTCACATCTCCTCTGAGGCCGATCACATCCACTTTTGGAGCCCTTCTCCTTTGAGGCCGATCGCATCCACCCAAGACAGAAATAAGACGATTATTACCTAATATAATAATGTGAATTATAATAATAATACCTCACAAACAAGGTAGATGAATTGCCAAGACTATCCCACCTTACCCTTACACTCAGCTTAGAGCATTCAATCTCGTTTTCACCTCTCAGAATGACAGAAAACACTAGGGGAATTAACTTATGTGTCTAGAAAGAAAGGAAGGGAAATAGCCTTTTCATGACTAAAGGAAAGAGTAATGGTTATACACCTCTTACCACATTCACTACTTCCAAAGAAAGAACTCAAGGACTGGACTACGGAGGGACTTAGAAAAACCTACTAGCAACCTCTCTGCTTCCTATACTTAGAAAATGATCCCAATGAAGCCAATGGTGAGACAAAAGGAACCCCAGGATTGATTATTCCTTTAGGCCTATTCTCACTCCTTTTATGCTACTCGATCTTTCTTGACGAAGTCGATTCCTCCATTCACAGAATGCCCTTATCAATCAAACTTTCTCTCTTTTACTGGAACTACCATCTGCAGCCCCATCTTCAGCAGCTGCTCAATCATCGACAAAGGAATACTGAACTCTACCCATGTGAGGCCTCGTAGCCAGGGAAAACCATAGAATCGGAAAGTTATATTAGAACATCGGTGGAAAGGTCGAGAGGGCACCTAAAAATAGCTTTAGAAGCCAGATTAGGAAAGTATTTCCCGAGTTCGAGCAAATGCAATGCGACATCCAGGCAAAAAATGGTTGGGGTCCGATCTGCGCATACGTCACTAAAGAAGATAAGAATCCACATATATGGGGGAACACGTCAAAGGCCCATGTTATGGAAGTATTTTTTTTGGTAATTCAAATATTATTAATTTTCAAAGCAACAAATTACAATGTATAAGGCTAACTCAGCCTGTATGTGAATCACTGCTATATGCATCTCTTCTATACCCCCTGCCTTTTTGACCTATATTACATGATAGTACTACTACTTTCCTCCTCCTATATGAACTTGTATTGTAATACTTCTTTGAGTTTACCAACAGCTCTAATGTTACAAATGTAGATAATTTCTCTAACAATGTTTTGTCTATCCCTATGAATCCTCTCAAAAACTCTATGATTTCTCTCCACCCATATGCTATACAATGTTTCAGCTAGTATCATTCTCAGCAGCTACCCTTCAGTTGATTTCTTCTTTGCTTTCTCCACAAACCAGCATATTAATTGACTCCATGTATTTGCTGGCACTTGTATTTGCATCCATTTGAATATGTCATTCCATATTTCCATGATGATAGTACAATTATAGATTAAATGGTGATGATTCTCTGGTTGACAATTACAGAATACACATGTAGTATCCACAGTCATGCTCCATTTACTCAGTCTATCAGCAGTCAGCATCCTTTCCTGTATGATCAACCATATAGAGAATACAGCTTTGGGTCTAGCTAAGTTTATGAGCATAATTGCTTTCCATTCCACCTTTTTAGTGTTCCCAGCTGCTGCAAATATATTTGCTTGATGACACTTCCTTTGTCTCCTTGCCTTTGTATCTGTGGATTTAGCCCTTTAATAATCAAAATCTTTTATACCATCTAGCTTGCTTGTTTAGCCCCTTTGATGTTCGATATAGGCTGCCCCTTTATATGGTACATATGCACCCATTTAATCCACAATCTGTCAGCTTTTGATGTTAAATCCCATTGCAATTTGAGAATGGCTGCTCTGTTCCATTGCTTAAGATTCAGAATATTTAATCCTCCTACACTCTTTGGTTTGCATACCTTCTCCCAAGATATCAAGGCTCGTTTGGTTATTACATTAGTCCCCAACCACATAAAGCTCCTACAGTAAGCTTCAATAGTTTTAATCACCTTGGCTGGTATCAGAAACATTTGTGACCAATAAGACTGAATTCCAAACAACACAGCTCTTATAAGTTGAATTCTTCTAGCATATGGCAGTTTCCTTGCAGTCCATGATGATATTCTTGCTACTATTTTATCAATCAAAGGTTGCCATTGAGTCTCCTTCATCTTCCTAGTAGTTAATGGAACTCCCGGGGTATTTGAATGGTAATTCACCTCTTATGTATCCCAACTATTGAAGTATGGCTTCCTGCTCTGCATCAGTCACCCCACCAAAGTACACTGAACTCTTGTTTAGGTTAGTTTTAAGACCAGAAGTTGCAAAGAATTGATCAAAACACTACTTCATCATTACCGCAAATTGTTTATCCTCCCTAGCAAATAATAACAGGTCATCTGCAAAGCTCAAATGAGTGAGGCCTAGCTTCTTGCATTTTGGATGAAAGTATAATTGCTTCTTGTTCTTCAACTCTGCCAGCATCCTACTTAGATATTCCATAGCTAGAGCAAATAAGAAAGGCGACATTGGGTCACCCTGTCTGAGTCCTTTTGCAGCAAGAAAGGGCTCAACCAATTCACCATTAATCAAAATAGAATAGCTCACACTTTGGATACAAGCTGTTACCCATTGTGTGAACCTGTGAGGAAATCCTAAACCTTCCATGATTTGTAGCACATAACTCCATTCAACACTATCATATGCTTTTTGCAAGTCTACTTTAATCATGCATCTAGGAGATATATGCTTCCTTGAATAAGCTCTAATCAGTTTATGAGCAAATATAGTGTTATCTGCTCCTTTCCTTCCCGGTATAAAAACCAGCTTGAGCCTCATCAATTAAGAAACTCATAACTTTTTGTAGCCTTGGTGCTAAGAGTTTAGCAATGATCTTATCTAACACTGATCAACAAGATATAGGTTTATAGTCTTTGATAGTAGCAGGGTTAGGGACCTTGGATAATAAAGTAACAGTTGTACAGTTAATGATCCTGGGCATCCTACCTGTTTCAAAGAACTCCAGTACAACATCATAGACATCAACCTTCATTATCTACTATGCTTTTTTGAAAAATACTGCATTGTACCCATCAATACCAGGTGCTTTATCATTTCTAATAGCATGTAAGCAATCATCAATTTCCTGCCTAGTTATATCTTTGATCAATCCATAGTTTGCTGATGGTTCAGTTTAGGTCTCTTCTTCATTGTTTGCATATTAATAACAGGTAACTGATTAGCAGCAGTCCCTATAAGAGATTTATAAAACTCCACAATCTCCCTCTTAATACTCTTAAGCTCTGTTAGGGTTGCACCATTCAATGATGTTAAGGTTGTAATGTTTTTCCTTCATGCTCTTTCTTTCATCACTGCAAAGAAGTACTTGTTGTTTCCATCACCTATATTGATCCATTGGGCTCTTGATTTCTGTTGAAGTATCTTTTCTTCAATAAGTGACCATTTTCCTAACTGGTGTCTAGCTTCCTTCTCCATTATCCTTAGTTGGTATGTGTATCCTTTCTTCATTTCTTGTTGGCATTCAATTATATCTCTTCTTCCTTGTTCAATTTTCATTGCTGAATCCCTAAAATTCTTGTTATTCAAATTCTTAAAGTCTATTTTCATAGCTTTCAATCTGTTCCAGATAGTTACTAGCTTGCAGTATTGCTGCTTCCCTTGCCATCCCTTAGTAACAATACTTTGATATGCCTCATGGTCAGCCCAAACATTCAAGAACCTAAAAGGTATTTTGATATTGTTATTTCTTTTTTGAAATCTCAATGATAGATGGGAATGATCTGATATAAATGGATCTCCAATTTCCACTGTTAGATACCTAAACTTCATCATCCATTCACCATTCCCCAAAGCTCTATCGATTCTGCTAATTACTCTATCCACTTCTATTTGTCCATTTGTCCATGTGAAGTAATCTCCCCTCCAAGGAATTTCAATTATCATAGTATCTGAGTAGAACTCTGTAAAGTCTTGAATATCAGCCATTGTTACTTCATGCCTTGATAGTCTATCTTGAATAGATATGATTGCATTAAAATCCCCCCATATGAGCCATGGTTGATTCATAGATTTAGCCAACATCCTAATTTTTTTCCACATTCCCTTTCTCATTTCTACACTATTGTATCCATATACCACAGTCATAGCACAACAGACATTAGTGCTAGTAACATTATGTGACGACCCGGCTGGTTGTTTTAAGAATTTACGCCCCGATCCCCTATTAACTGCTTTTCCAAAGTTTATTTCTGCTAAATTGATTTGCCGGGATGTTCGATTTTGAGTTTCGGAGAGTTTTAGGACACTTAGTCCCTAAATGAGAGCTTAAGTGTTGGAGAATTGACCGTAGTCGAAACAGTGTGAAGACGGCCTCGGAATGAAAATCATATGGTTCCGTTAGTTCCATTGGGTGATTTCGGGCTTAGGGGCATGTTCAGATTGAGTTTTGGAGGTCTGTAGCAAATTTAGGCTTGAAATGCCGAACGGTCGAATTTTGAAGTTTCTGGTTCGATAGTGAGATTTTGATCCAAAGGTCGGAATGGAATTCCGGAAGTTGTAATAGCTCCGTAGTGTTGAATTTGACGTGTGTACAAAATTTCAGGTCATTCGGACGAGGTTTGATAAACTTTTTGATCGAAAGCATATTTTTAGAGTTTTTGGAATTCTTAGGCTGGAATTCGATGAAAAATAGGTGTTTTGATGTTGTTTTGAGAATTCCGAAGGTTGGAACAAGTTTGAATGGATTTATGAAATATGTTGGTAGGTTTGGTTGAGGTCCCGGGGGCCTCAAGGTGATTTCGAATGGCTAACGGAAAGATTTTTGAAGTTTGAAGTTTTCAGCTGTTATCTATCATAACCACACCTGTGGTTTGGTCTCCGCAGGTGCACCGCCGCAAAAGCGGCTCAGAGGTTGCAGAAGCAGAAATGAGGTAGGGTCCAGAAACGGCAGAAGCGGCATAAGGAACCGCATCTGCGTGACCGCAGATGCTGAATTTGAGGTCGCAGGTGCGAGATTGGGCGTTTAAGTGAAAACCGCAGAAGCGGTTCCCCAACCATAGAAACGGCATCGCAGATGCGATTATTTGACCGCAGATGCGGAAATAGCTAGGTAGATATATGAAAATTTGAGCGTTTAGTTTCAAAAGTTGGAAATTCAACTTGGAGTTTGGGAGAGGGCGATTTTGGGAGGAAATTGAAGAGGAGATCATTGGATAACAATCCTTTAACCCTTTCTAATTTTATTCCATCAAACTATAGTTAGTTTTATCATTTAATTTCGGTTTAGAGATGAAAATTGGGGAAAAATTGGAAGAAAGTTCGTAGACCTTAAATTCGATTTTTGATTGAGAATTTGACCTTGGATTTGGATAATCTTGGTATGCATGAACTTGTGAGAGCGTGAAGATTCTGAATATATAAATTTTACCTGATTCTGAGACGTGGGTCCGAGGGGTGTTTTGGTCAATTTACCTAATTTTGCGTATTAGCTTAGAATTTAATTGTAGAACCAGTTACTTGAAGTGTTATTTACATTATGAAATTGAATTGAATATATTTGGGCCATTTGAAGTCGAGTACTCGTGGTAAGAGCGTGGTTTTAGATTGATTTTTGAGTCGGGTCGAGGTAAGTGGCTTGCCTAACCTTGTAGAGGGGACCTTTCCCCTTAGGATTTGGTATATTTGGTAATTGAAATGCCTTGTACGTAAGGTGATGAGTGCGTACTTGTGCTAATTGTTGGAAATCCGGTTTTCATTAAGTAATTACTAGTATGTTTCCTTTCCTGTTTTTGTTACTCGCACTATCAAACATGTTGTAGCTTACGAAAGCATGTCTAAGTGATTTAATTGCTTTATTTGCTCAAACTGCCTTACTTGAATTCTGTGCAGCATGCTAGGCTAGAATCACTTGGTTGCCTTAATATGAAAATTGCCATTTCTGTATGTTTTCCTGTTATTGCTGTGTATTTATTTTGGGACTACGGATGTGGGATTCTGGTAGCTCCCCCTTGCCTGTTTATTTTGGGACTACGGATGTGGGATTCCGGTAGATCCCCCTGCACAGTTATATGGGACTACGAGAATGCACTAGGTAGATTCCCCCAGTACTGGGTATTTACATTTGGGACTACGGAATGGGATTCCGGTAGATCCCCGCGCACTGTGAGTTGGACTACGGGACGGGATCCCGGGAGATCCATTAGATATGTACATATGGGATTACAAGACGGTATCCTGAGAGATCCCCGGTTGTTATTTTGGTGCTAAGTCGCATTTCTTTCTGTGTTTTCCCTTGTCTCTACAATAGTTGTTGTTGCCCATTTTATATCTTGTGTTACTTTTACCGCTGTATTTATTTATATTGTTCTGTTCTACACTGTCAAACATTATATTTTATTTAACCTTAGAAGGGCCCTGACCTTCCTCGTCACTACCCGGCCGAGGTTAGGCTTGGCACTTACTGAGTACCGCTGTGGTGTACTTATGCCCCTTCTGCGCATGTTTTTCATGTGCAGATCCAGGTACTGCAACTTAATCCTATCACCCTTGAGGTGAGGCGACTGCTCCAACGATTTCGAGGTATATCTGCCGCGTCCGTAGACCGAGGAGTCCCTTTCTATTGTAACTTCTAAACATTTGCCCTTCTGTATTTCTTTTCCTTTTTAGATATTTTGGAGTTAGAGTACTGTGTAGTGATCCTTAGCTTGTGATTCATGGGTTTCCAGGTCTTGGAGATATGTATTGGTTTCTGAGAGTTAAATATTGTGTATGCCGAGCTGCACTTTTAAACATTGTTTTATCACTCTTCATTCTGTTTTAATTTGTTTTTATTTCGCATGTTAGTTATCTTCCGCAATTTAGGCTTACCTGGTCGTAGAGGACTAGGTTCCATCACGATGGTTCATGGAGGGCGAACCGGGGTCGTGACAAGCCAGTTTATTAGAGTCTCACTGATCAGTATGGAGACGTCTGTACTTATCTACTAGAGGCTATGTAACTGTTAGGAAAATTCCACTTCATTTGAGTTCCTTGTCGTGCGATATTTTGACATCACAATTCTAAACTTCTGTCTTCTATTCTCTCACAGATGGTGAGGACACATGCTACCCGAGATGATCAGGCACCCGCGCCCCCTACTGCAGCCGTCAGAGGTCGGGGCCGGGGTAGAGGCCGAGGACGTGCACGTGGTGCAGCCAGAGAACCCGCACGAGCTGCCACCGAGGTACCACCAGTAGTCCCAGTCGGAGTCCAGGCACATGATACACCTACTGCTACTACTACTCCAGCTCTTCAGGAGACTCTTGCGCAGTTCATGAGCACGTACACCACTTTGGCTCAGGCAGGGTTGCTTCCCCTTGCTGCAGCCACATCTCAGGCTGGGGGATGAGCACAGACTCCCGCCGCCCTCACTCATGAGCAGTGAGTGCATGTTGAGCAGGTCCCTGAGATTATTCTTGTATAGCCTGCAGTCCGAGATCAGCCCGAGGGCAGGACAGTAGCTTTCGAGGAGGAGCAGCTAAGGCTTGAGAGATTCAAGAGGTACAAGCCTCCTATATTCAGCGGTCTAGCATCGGAGGATGCTCTGGGATTTCTAGATGAGTGTTACCGCATTCTCCGTACCATGGGTATATTGGAATCTAGTGGCATTTGTTTCACCGCCTTCCAGCTTCGAGGAGCCGCCTATGAGTGGTGGTGTACCTATGAGTTATACAGTTTGGATGAGACAGCTTCACTAACTTGGACCCAGTTTTCAGATATGTTCTTGAGAGAATTTGTCCCTTAGAGCCTCGAGAATGCATGGCGCGCAAAGTTTGAGCATTTGCGCCAGGGTACTATGACTGTCTCGGAGTATGCTGTTCGTTACACTAGCTTGGCTAGACATGCCCCAGCCTTGGTTTCTACTGTTCGCAATAGGGTTCACCGATTTATTGAGGTTCTTAATCCCAACACTAGGTTTAGCATGGCTCGTGAGTTGGATATAGATATTTATTATCAGCAAGTGGTAATCATTGCTAGGAGGATAGATGGTATGCATGCTAGGGAGAGAGAGGACAGGCGGGGCCATAAGAGAGAGGGCAGACGAGATCAGGAGAGAGATTTTGAGGAGGCGAGGANAGAGGCCGAGGCCGGGGTGGAGGCCGAGGACGCGTACGCAGTGCAGCCAGAGCACCTGCGCAAGCTGCCACAGAGGTACCACTAGCAGTTCCAGCCAGAGTCCTGACACCTAACACACCTACTGCTGATACTACTACTCCAGCTCTTCAGGAGACTCTGGCATAGTTCATGAGCATGTACACCACTCTGGCTCAGGCAGGGTTATTTCCCCTTGCTGCAGCTACATCTCAAGCTGGGGGAGGAGCATAGACTCCCGCCGCCCGCACTCCTAAACAACAAGTACATGTTGAGTAGGTCCTTGAGATTATTCATGTACTGCCTACAGTGCCAGTTCAGCTCGAGGGCAGGGTAGCGGCTTCCGAGGAGGAGCAACTGAGGTTTGAGAGGTTCAGAGGTACAAGCCTCCTGTATTCAGTGGTCTAGCATCGGAGGATGCTCTGGGATTTCTATATGAGAGTTACCGCATTCTCCGTACCATGGGTATATCAGGATCGAGCAGGGTTTCCCTTACTACTTTCTAGCTTTGAGGAGCTGCCTATGAGTTAGACAGTCCGGATAAGGCTGCTTCACTAACTTGGACTCAGTTTTCAGATCTGTTCCTGAGAGAGTAGGTTCCTCAGAGCCTCAGGGACGCATGGCGCACAGAGTTTGAGCATTTGCGCCAGGGTGCTATGACTATCTCATAGTATGCTGTCTGTTGCACTAGTTTGGCTAGGCATGAACCAACCTTGGTTTCTACTTTTCACGAGAGGGTTCGCCGGTTTATTGAAGGCCTTATTCCCAGAATCAGGTATAGCATGGCTCGTGAGTTGAGATGGATATTTCTTATCAGCAGGTGGTGAGCATTGCTAGGAGGATTGAGGGGATGCATG